CCAATTTTGTAACTTTCTCTATATTATGTTTAAGAAAAAGTAAACAATATGAGTTAGTTTTTCATTGATGAACTTTAATAGGATGTATACTGACTGAGTATGTGCAGCTTTGGCTTGATTTGCTGTGATTGGCTGTGAAGTTCTAATGTCGGAGACACTATAGTGTTTTTTAAATATTAGGAATACTAGGTAACTAGGTCGAATTCAGCTAGTGTCTGGAGGACAACACAAGTTACCTACTGCTCTTTTTGATGGTTTTATGAGGTTTCTTTGCTCAATGTGTGGCAAATGCTAGTACGTCACAAACTGCAATATTTCCATCCTCATCCTATCATTCATCTTTCTCCTAAACACACACTCCTACTACACATGTTGGAAGCTTAGGGAAATGTTCTTGAGCATTTTCCTTGATAGTTTCCTATTCTGTGATACTGCTTTATAGTAAATACATAACAATGCTTGAAAGCACTGAAAAAGTTTTAATGTATTTTTACTTGTATTGTTAATTAAGTTATATAATTATTCAATCTCTTGACAGATTGTTACATGCTGGGGAAAATTGAGATAGCTAACTCTTCTGCTGTTGTATCACCAATTGTGATCTCTTGTTTTGAATCACTTCTCAAATATAATTACAATGAACATTTTTCCCCCCAGGTGAAACATGTCTGGATCAGGAGATCACGATGATGAAAGCTATGTTGTGAAGCTTCGGGGTCTTCCATGGTCAACATCTGCTGATGAAATACGAAAGTTCTTCAGTAAGTTACAATTCAGTTATAACAGTTTTAAACATTCATGGTGTATATTCGAGAACTGATTTCTTGGGAAAGTAATAAGGTTTTTATTGCAGTGGAGTGGAAGAGAGTGAACGTAAATGTATACATTATTCTGTTAATTAATTTGATTTAGTGCATGTTGGCGGAAGAAGGGAGTTAATTGAACCCAGTCTGTTTTTCTTTCTTTCTTCCTTGCTTTGTTTCATTATAAAGCTCTTCGTTATTTATGTCATTGTGAACTATAGTTCAACAGTGAATTAGTGCATTTTAAAGAATAGTAAGAGAAAAACCCAATTAATTTATTCAATATTGAAGTAATTATTTTATTTGAAATAGTTTTTTTGGGCCAGTGATTAATTTTTTCGACAAAGTTTTACTGCTGAAACGGCATTGCTCTGCTAACTACATTACTCTTTGTGATAAGTGTAACACCAAAAAAGCAGACCTGCTGTTGAAATAGCTTTACACCAGATTATATTCGAAAACCGTATTTAAATGTCTGGAACTACAGCATCCCTGTCTATGAATACAAGGCTAGGATGTGTGGCTTCTTTGTGCTGCAAATCAGAACCCAGACATGCCTGTGCCTATAACCAAAATAAGCTTAAATAGTGTCTGGAGGAAGCTTCTTTCAAACAATTATGTAGTAGACCAGAGCTACAACAGTTGCATAATTCTCAATGGCGGCGGTGATGGTGTAACTTTTAGCATATTGGACTGTTATACCCAAGTTGGTGTGCTCAAACGTGATCGACAGCAAATAAATCCTTTGAAGGGGAAGTAAAGCCGGCTGTCCCATGTTAGTAGATTTATTTGCATGTAAAAGATCAAGTCTAAATGATGCCTTTGAGCTAAATTCAAATCACCTGTTTTGAAGTAGTAAGTTTACAGATGTCCTCTTTATCCAGCAGATGTAGTTTCAACCATAGCCATCCATTATCGAAATTAGGGTGTCTTCGTAGTCTTTCATGACCCGCACGTGTCGACAACGGCTTTCTAACAATACGGTGATCATGCTAAAAGAAATCTGGCAACCATTAGAGGTCATGATTTGTCAAGAGAAGGGGTCTGTTCAGGGTAATTTAGTGAAATGCAAAATGTAACTGCGAATTTCAGCTGGAGTTGAAAAGAAGTTCATTTATTAGCATTTCCTGGGATTTCAAATAGTTTCTATCACACAAATTGTCCAATTGTGTAAAGTGCAGTTTTTGTTGTATCGTGCTTGTAAGTTTTTATTTCCTCACATACTTCTTACGCAAGGCAAAGTAGTGTAATGCAGGAAGGACTTTTTTCAATAGAAAAAACTTATGAATAAGGGGTGCATCCTGAATCTGTTTATAACAAATTACTACCTCCATGTTGGATAGTTAGAATCCAGGTTTTGTGGGTTCTTGACGCTGAGAAATCTATTAGTGAACTTACGGAACAAAGAGTTTGTGATTTTTGCAGGTCCTCTCCATGAAGCCTCAATTATTTTCAACATTTTCTCTAACTCTACTCTAGAAAAAACCAGCAAATGACACTTGAAGAAATGGTGTATTTTGAATTGAACTCTATGATTTTTCAAAAATTATAAAAGTTGCAATTTCCGCCAGGCTTCCTAAAAATACAATAATGACTATCCTGGAAAGATAGAATAGGTTCTCTAAAGAAGACTAACGATGTTTTGAAATAGAATTATTAAGCTTCCTTCTTGTAAGTCTTTGAAATTTGTAAACTTTTCAGTGCTTCATTTGCTTTCTTTCGAGAGTTACCAGATTGGAATGCATATTGCAATGCCATACCTTGACTGGGTGATTAGAAATTCTGAGAATTCCTTCTTATCAGGAAGGTATATAGCTGTTTGAAACTGTTTAATTATCGATTATGTGTTGCTAAATTAAATTTAAAAGAATTAATTTTTGCTCCAACTTTTCTATGATTTCTAATGAGTTTGACATGACAAGAGTTTTACATGTGGTGACATAGACTAAAATTGTGGTATTTTAATATTACGTAACTATTATTTAGTTAATTTGTGGAAGAGAAGGGTGATGCTTTTCCTTCTATTTTGCATTTATTACCAATACTGTATGCGGAAGTTTAACCATTATTACCCCAAAAAATCACATGTAACTCCTTCAATTGTGTAGAGACTCGATTTTAATATTGATTATTTTATTCTATTATGTTGTTGTTGAAATCATTCAGAATTTAATTGAAATTAACGGTTTAATTGAACGGTTTGTAATGTCTTTTTCTCATTTATCTCCTTTCTAGGTGATTGTAATATCAAACATGGGAAGCTGGGGATTCACATGACCATGTCCCGAGAAGGACGTCCTAGTGGAGAAGCATATGTAGAAATGGAAACTGATGAAGATATTGAACGTGCAATCAAGAAGGATAGGGACCATATGGGTCATAGGTATATAGAAGGTAGGACTACATTAAAGATCACTGCTGGAATATTAAAAACATTGTTGCACGTATTGAAAGTTTTGTTTTTTTACTCTTTTCAGTCTTTAAGGCAAAAAGATCAGAAATGGAATGGGTTGTGAAGCGAAGTGGTTTGAATTTAGAGAATGCAATGGATGATGGATGTGTTAGACTTCGTGGACTACCATTTGGTTGCTCAAAAGAAGAGATTGCACAATTTTTTTCAGGTATGTGTGTATTCTGAATGTTTATTAACAGATTACATAATTTAATATCAGTTTTGAAATATTAATAATTTCTGAGGTGAAAATTCAAATTTGAGGGGTGCCTAATATTACATTTTTGAAGTTTATAGTTTTTGCTAAATATAAATTCAATTGGCACTATTTCTGATTTATTACATGTGATTGATATTATATGTCAATATTAGGACTTGCAAACGATTTGAATTGTTTTTGAAAGTACCCAAGAAAGATTTGCAGTAAGCATTAAAATGTCAGAATATAGCACTAACCCACTGATTATTTTGGGCAATCGTGTATTAAAAGGCAATATGAAGAGTCTTTCAAAGCAGTGGATTTGCCATGAGCTCTTTTCGTTTAAAGGTTTTGCAATTCCTGATATTCATGTCATTTTTGTATGTTTTGAATATGTATTTGTAGGTCTTCCAGTGCTTTTGTTGTTGATTGAGGGTATATTGTTTATTGGTTGGGTAGGGTTGGAGATAGTACCCAACGGGATATCCCTACCAACTGACTACACGGGAAGGAGTACTGGGGAGGCTTACGTTCAGTTTGTAAACAAAGAAGTGGCAGAGAAAGCTCTTGACAAACACAAGGAAAAAATAGGACACAGGTGGGGAAGGAGTGCAGTGGAATGGTAGGGAGGGATCGGGTGGGATGAAACCCAAACCCTCTATTCTACGGTATACCATCTCGCTCTTTTTTCTTAACTCATCAATTCAACAAGGGAGTTGTATATATAAACAGTGTAGGGATCTAAAAGCCATTTTACTAAATATTTGTTTGCTTTTATTGCATTGAAAGATTTAAAGTCCATTTGGCATGGATGGCATTTAGATCCTTACAGTAGTAGAATGTTTCAGTATATGTGACTCTTCACCAGTTTGCAGGTAGGATTTCTTTACTTTTTAAAAGTATTAAGTTAAATGGCCTCTGTGTTTAGTAATTTAAGGTTTTCTTATCTTTTTATTTTTTATTACTTTTTTAAATGGGCACATTGCACGATTGGAAATCTTGATATAATTTTGTGTGTATATTGCCCTTTTTTAATCTTTGCTTCTGTTATTGTACTAGTGAAATAGAAATTTGGTTATTTGTTGTGCAGTTTGGTGCTCATGTACATAATATTTTAATATTTATTGCTAAAGCCATATGACATATAAAAATGTAGTGTCAACTACTATAAATACCTGTTTAAATTGTAGTTGCCACATGGATCTTTAATACTATGTACTCTTTCATGAAGAGAATATGTAGAACTAGTAGACTGCCAATTAAGTAAATGTTTGTTTGTAAAGCCTTGGCTTTTTTTTTTTTTTTTTTTTTTTTTTTTTTTTTTTTTTTTTTTTTTTTTTTTTTTTTTTGGATTTTCCATGATCACTGTCACAAATTAGGGCAGTGCACACCCAGGAGCATGTGCACGTGAATATGTGGTAACCGGTTTTGTGAAGCATATCCTGTTCTTGGATGTGTAAGTTAAGTTTTGTGATTGTAGATTGGATGTTTAGTGAATGCTCTCTGAAAGACCATGCTATGATTATTTACTTTTTAACATTGAAACCAAATATTCTTTGCAAATTGTCCCAATTTGCAGATCTTTCTGCAACCTGCCCCTTAAGTGTTTTTCTTAGTTTATCCCTACTAAGAGGCCACTTTCAGGAAAATTCAAAGAACACTAAATTTTCAGTAGTTTAAGTGACAGAATCAATTATTAGAATGAAGAGGCTTCCTTACCCTGCTATAAATTATTTTACCGTACATTCCTGGAAGAACCTGTGGAATATCAATGTCGGAAGACAGTTATCGACTTGCCCTGTAACAAGCAAGTGGTGTTTGACCAGTCCTGAGCCAACCCTTACCTATAATCCAGAGCTTGATTTTTAATTTTTATTTAAATGCAAAGAATTGAGGAAAGCAAAGTTTTGAGCTGTGATACAGAATGTGCTTTGCGCACCAAATGTCACAAGAAAATGGTTTGTTACTAGTAGCAACTGTTGGGAATAATAAAACTGAAAATCATTTAAATGCTTTTCACACAAGGAGATATAAATATTTTTATGGTTTACTGGTTCACTTATGTCTGAGAAACACATAAGGAAAGGAATCAGCAGTTGCAGCAAGTGAAAATCGTTCCAGAAATTTGGACGCAAAGCATCCCAGTAAATATGAAAAGTGTGAGAAAAATCATGTAAAATTTTATGTTTAGTAGGTGATATCGCACACCTTGTTTGAATCTTTTAGCTCGCTTGACCTAGATACCCTTTATCAAAACCCATATGCCCAGCTCAGGAAGCGCTGTTGACATTTTTCTTTCCCCAACTGTCACACGCGAACCTTCGCTATGCGTAGTTTTATATTCTTTGGGTTGGAAATTGAAGTAAAATCACAATGTGGGATTGAAGTTTGAAGAATTGCAAAGCCTAATGATTGGTACTGCAATAATTATAGATGCTGAAGTAAAATATACTCTGGTATCAACATCTATGCCTACAGTAAATATGTGCTCATACAACAAATCCTAATAAACCAATGGCTAATATTGCATTAATTATTCCTAATGTACTAAAGGCTTCCGTTTTTCTTGACTAATAATGTGGGAAATTATACTAAATCTTGGGAACCACTTAGAATTCACATTTTTAAATTAATTGACCTGTAGGACACTTGTGTGCTCTTTGCTTTTCTAATTGCTACAGGTAAAGATTTCTCAGTCTGCAAATCATTTGTTTTACTTTTTGATCATTGCTTGCTAAGACTTCATTCAATAGGCTCACCATAATTACATCAAAATTTCAACTGTTTTTGTCTGTTTCATTTCACTGAATATACCTAATTACTAATAATTAAAGAACATGGCTTTTACTTCTCATTTTTCATTCAAATCCTTGCTGCATGTTCCTAAAATGCCTTGGGAGAAGGTCATTGGAGTACCTTTTACAATAGAAAAATGCATGGTTTTTGGGAAAGCTGAGTAGTAGTCAAAATGTGTTTAAGAAAGTTTTCTGTTCAAACTGGAAAACAGCCAACTTAATATAAAAGTATAATACAGTAATAATTCAGTGTAACAATGTTAACGTGAGGTAAATCAGAAGAAAAATGTTCTGGCGTCAATTTCACATAAAGCGAATTTAAATGATAAAGTATCAATTAGTCGCATTGTCTTTTGAGGAAGGTTGTTACAACTTAGGATCAAAAATGAATTGCTACAGTAAAGTAAGCGAACTGAAAAAATATTAATGTTGGTCATTGCCAATTATTTTGTATGGAAAACTTTCAACACTTTCATAATTTGCGTAAAATCTTGATTGGATATGGATTGGCTTTTACAAGATAGTTAAGAGGAACATCTGTCCCTGGATGCTGAGGAAGAGAGGTAGGTTCTTGCACAAATATCTAGTTTGTAGTAGTTTCATTCACATGTCTGTTTGATCAACTGAAAATATGCATGCTCCAGGTATGTATTACAATTTATTTCGAACTGAAGTATCATCAAATTTTGTTATATTTCACCAATAAAAGCAAGTGATTCAACTAAAATTTGATGATAAAATGCCCTGATGTAAATTTCACATTCCACTTTAATTGTGTTGCTTGATCATAGTTGAGTTATGTGATAATAGATGGGAAAATACTGTTTGCATTTGTAGTTTTCAATAAATAAACTTAAATTTCCCTTCAATGTTGTACATTTACATTCAACAATTTCTGTAATAATTGCTGGGTAGTCTTGGTTATAACTTCTCATGTTAAATGATGGGAAGCAATTAATGTAGTTGCTGATAAGGCTTGCTTTAATGCTTATAGTCCATGTAATTCTGTTCACACATCCATCCCTTGTGCAGATACATCGAGATATTCCGAAGTAGCTTGTCTGAAGTAAGAGCTGCCCTTGGGCCTAAAATGCGGCCCATGGGCCCTGGTGGTTTCAATCAGCGACCTGCTCCTTATGATCGTGGTGATCGTTTTGGAGGAATGAACAGGTATTCCAACATGGGCCGTGGCTCTAGAAATTTTAAAGGTATGTTTCCTTCTTTTCTTTGCTGTAGAGGACTTTTTTCCCCCCTTTAGAAAACTTATTTAATTTCCTTTTCTTTGTAGGATTTGGAGATTTTGACGATGGCCCCAGCCCATGGGGATTCAGTTCCTCGTGGGGAGGTGGTGGAGGTCCAGGAATGAGAGGTAGCATGGGAGGAAGAGGGGGAAGTGGAATGAATATGAACATGAGTATGAATTCAAGTGGTTTTGGTGGCATGGGTGGCCTTGGAAGAGGTCGTTCAGGGGGTGGGGGTAATAGTTGGAACAGTAATGGTGCTGGAATGGGAGGGGGTGGACACTGTATCCATATGAGGGGGCTCCCATTCCGAGCTACGCAAGCTGATATTGCTGATGTGAGTATGAATGGTAAGAATTATTTACTAGTCTACAAGAGTTCATGTAAGAGAACATAATTTTTTTTTTCAGTTCTTCAGACCACTTGTGCCAATTAACATCAGATTATTGTATGACAATAGTGGAAGAGCATCCGGAGAAGCTGATGTAGAATTTGCCACGCATGAAGAAGCTGTCAAGGGGATGTCAAAGGTAATTAAAATTTTATACAAAGATTGTATAAGTTATTTTAATGTTAAGTATTATTTTACCCTATTTACCATAAGATAAAATGAGGTGTTCTCTTATAAGGTTTGTTTGAAAAATGTGATGTTAAATACTTGCTGATCAAGCGTAGTCTGTTAAGATTTATGAATCTGCGTTGAGTTTCTCATGAAACTAGTAAATGATAGCTGCAAAAAAATGATAAAAGTAAATTGTACCTATTACCTAATTTTAGACCTCAGCAAAGACCACAAATTTCAGTTGGAAATTTTTTTAATGTGTCTGGAGACAGAGAATATCAGTTTGTTCATTGTATCAAGTGAAATGCTACTTGAAAATGAATGAAAATTAGTGTCAAGGTGGTCAATGAACTGTTGTTTTCAAACAGCAAGTGTTAATGTGTTTTTGCATGAAATGGAAATGGAAAAAATTCACATTAATAAGAGGAAGCATTCCACATCCAACTACAGAAAGAGAGATCACCACAAGAATTATGTTTCTTTAGCAAAAGCTTCCCAAGCTTGTAAACTTGCTGCTGTCTCCCAGTTACCCATAAAACATAGCAAGATGAGTTGGCTGTAAAATTAAATTGAACTTATAAATCCCTGTGCAATGTCACACAGGTTTCCACTAGTAGACTTCAATCGTGATGTGGGTGTAAAGTTGCAAAAACTGATAAACATATTCATAATGAATTCTTTACTTAGTGTGGTAAACCATATGAACACCACACACGAAGTAAAAGTAGTGTTGTAACAAATTTTCTGGTTTTCTTTCTTTACTTTTCAGTCTTTTCATATTCTTACATGATCACTTCCTTTCATAGATTTCTTCAGACCTTCAATTTAGGGATAGATTCTCATTGCACCAGTCTGTCAGTAGGTGAGAGAGAATCCTTAACTTGGTGAGCAAAAGTCCTACTGGAGGAATAAATTGAACAGTTCTTTCACAATATAATTTGTATTTTACTAATAATAAATATATTACAAGACTTGCATAAATTCATTTAATTTATATATATATAATTTATTTTGGTAAGAATTGTTATAATTTATATTATTAAATTTTTGTAATGTGCTAACTTGAATATAGTCTTAAGCAGTCATAGTGGTTTCATGTGTTGGGATTTTGTTGTCTTTAAATAGTACCATGAATATCATTATTATAATGGTTTAATGTCTTGATCAGTCAGCAGCAGTAGTCAAATTCTTGCTATTTGCTGATCATGTGATTTGGAGGATATATGGTTCTGCTTTACACATTTCGAGCAAATGAATTTCCTTCATTTACTATAGGTGACAAATTTGATGATGGGAAGAAGGAGTCTTCTCAGGTTTTTCTTCTCTCCTTGTCTTGGTCTTGACTTTTGTGTCACATTCATAATTTTTTTCTTCATGGAGGTATATTTGATCAAAACTGTTCCTGTTCTGAATGTGGTTACCTTGTGAAGAGTCACCATTACCAGTTACTTTATAATTTGAATTATGGATTTTTAGCTGTTAATGACGGGAAGGTTTCTCTCAGTTTATCCATTTTGCTAATAAATGTTCTTTTCCTAGGATAAGGATCACATGCAACATCGATATATCGAGCTTTTCCTGAACTCAACACCTGGTAGTTCAGGTGCTGGAGGATTGGGAGGTGGTAATTTCGGTGGCATGGGAGGTGGTGGATTTGGAGGAGGTAGTGGAGGTGGTGGTGGATTTGGAGGAGGTAAGAGACATAATGGAGGTCTTTCTTAACACCTTGAAGTATGAATACTCATTCTTATCTATGTTTGTCAGGTTGGAATTAAGGTGTCCAGTGGATTTATTAAAGAACCAAGAATGTCCTTTTATCTTCTTTTGCAAGTGTTTCTCAGCTGATGGAAGTGTTCAGCAACCTGCTGCAGTTTTTGAAATAACTGTAACTTAAACCTGAGCATTTAATAGAGTTTATTATTGGATTAAAGTTTGTGTTACTTACTATTGGAACAATTTTATACCTAGTTCTACCTAGGAAACGTGGATCGAAACCTGCTTAATAATTTTAAAACGTTGAAGTCTAGTGTCTGTCTGAAAATTTACTTTGCATACATCAGCGAGTATTTTGGGAGTTTCAGATGTTGAGTTTTTAAATAAGTATTCAAGATTTGTAGGCATCACATGACAATGATACATCAATGTAGATGTCAGCCTGGATCTTTAACTGAACCTTTAAGCCTTCCAGTGCAATATATTTAAATTAAGTTTATTGCAAATTAGAATAAGTGATGTTTGAAGGAACTATGATGATTTGTTGAAAAAAGGAAATATTCGTTGGAAAGTTGCAGGGTTCGTGATTTAAATAGAATTTGTATTTGTACGAAAGCTGTGTAGCTATGTTCATACTAATTGAATTGTGAGACAAAATTGCTAGAGGAGACATTTCTTTGTATCTGTGCTTGAGCAAGCATATAATTCTTAGTAATGAGACCATTCTTTTAATTGAAGCCTAAATTTGGGTGTTAAGTTTCTAATATTACAAAAAGTGATACAAATGGTAATTCACGGCCATATGATTTTTTAATGACTAAATATAATCTATGGTGAATTTATACTTCTAATAAGTATCTCATTTGAGAGGTATGAAAATACTGCAACTCTTAGCTATTTATTTAAACTAAATAGTAGTTTCCATATCATTGAAATGTAAATTATATGGTCTTCATTCAAGTTTTTGGGTTGTAAAAAAAAGATAGAAATGTTGCTGCTTGGAAGGACTTTTTCAATTTCCATTTCCCAAAATATCTGGAAATTACAGGATTTGAACGTGTAGTTCACAACGATGGTTTCACTCAGGCAATAATGGACTTCACTGCATTAGCAAGTGTTAAATTATGAAAACTGAAATTTGCACATAATGTACATTTGAACTTATTTTTATTTTAAGATATACTTCTTTATCCATGTATATTTATCCAAGTTTTCATGTAACAGTTGTCTCTAAAGATGTCTTCAATATTCAGTAATTTTCTGTACTTATCTGTTCAAATATTAGTCCCTGTAATATGAATTAAAATAATTTATGTAATGAATGTTTTGGAGAATGGTTTGTTTTACCTTTTTTCTTTAGATTTCACTTTTTTTTGTACTTCATGCTTTATTTGAATTGAATTGTTAGGTACCAATAATCTAATACATTTCAGTTTATGGTGCTTATGAATATCAGCCCCCAAATATTGCAGGCTTTGTATTAACTTGCTAGACATCAGTAGTGGAACTTTTACATTGTTAGAAGTTTTGCAAAGTTCAATCTATGGTATTTGTGTTAAATGTTACTAATTATTAAAAACTTCAAAATGCATTCTTAACTGGCTTTTCAGTTTTCAGTGCACTGTTGATATTCAAAGCTAAGTAAACTAAAAGGATGTGGAAAGTAAATAAATTATTGGGAACTAATGTTTTGTTCTGATATGTGCTAATATGCCTGCTAATGTAGCTGAATATTATAATCGCTTGTTGAGGTATAAATGGTTCAGCTATATTTGTCATTGACTAGAAAATAGACTTCTATAACCTATAAAACTGTTTATTGTAACTGAAACAGTGATACTTGACAGTGAAATAGTTCTGAAGAGTTGCTTCAGTGTGTATCACATTGAAGATTATAGAAGTGTTAAGTAGCCTTAATAATAAACTCTGTGTATTGATGACTTAGGTATTGATAAGTGTAGTGTATGTACTGATGTAATTCTTTCTGCACTTTTGTGATGTGATTTGTCACCAATCTGTTCCATTTTCTTAGTGTAAGTCTACCAACTTGAATACAATTAAAATTTTTTGAATATAATTAAACTTGTTTTTTCTTTTGACATGAAATACCCTTTCAAAACGACAGTAAGCTGTAATTTTCTGTCTTTTGTTTATTCCTGGAACGGTTGCAGTATACAGGAGGTTTTCAAAATCTGTTTGTGTTCAGAAGGGCCAGTTTAATGACCTGCAGTGCATGTACAAGAATTATCTATGCTGGGCCCCCTTATGAACTTTCCTCATTTTTTCAAGACTGATATACATGTGTATAAAAGAATTTGAACCCATTTTAGATTGCTTTCCCTCCCCTTAAAACACCCTAAGCTTTCTTCATAAATTTTGAGGCAATGCTGTACACTGTAAAAAAGACTAAATTTAAAGTATATATACTTGAATTCAATTAAGAGTACTCTGGTCAAAGATCTGGGTCAACATTGGGACATTTTCCATTATGTAAATTCCACCTGATGTCCAAAATGTCTAGTAGAAACTAGTCCCAGAAATGCATGCTTACATGTTCTCGTATTTGCTTTTATGAGCTGTTTTTTTTCTCTCTCTCCCCCCCCCCCCCTTGAGGTAACTCGAAATGAGGATGCTGCCTGTTTTGTGGGAGAGGTACACATTCGATTTTTCTTCAAAAACTTCCGAAGGAAAACAAAATTTAATGCCGAAAATATTTAATTTTTCTCAAATTTACGTAGTAAATGTTTTATTTTTATTGCGCCCGGATTCGTGGCTTCATTCGGTACAAACTTCGAATGGCCGGTCCGAAGGCTACTCGCAAAATCAAGGCGCAGGTCCGTGACGTCAATCGCCTCGAATTCCTCACAGCAGAGCGAGTCACAGCAAGTTGGACAGTTCACTACGCTGTACACTCCGGTACGACCGCTGCCGAAGACTTAGTGTATTTAAGCGGTGTTCGCTGATTTGGGTTCTGAAACGGATAACAAAAGCGAGTTCGGTGTAGAAATGTTATGTTGCGCCGTTCTATTGGAGCAAAAAGGAGAAAGAAAATATTGCATGAAAAAAAGAAAAACGCATGAATTTGAGGATATTTTAAAACTTTTAGATTAAATCGTGATCAGTACAGACTGGATGTTTATGTAATTGCATATTTTTTGTCTTTCTACTTAACTTACTCTTAGCGAATCGTCGCTGAATATCCAATTTTTTCCTTACTTATTTTGGTATTTTAGTTTTTACCAATTTTATTACATATTTTTTATGAAAAGTATTTCCCCTTCATTGTTACTGCATGCTATCTACATGAGATATGCTACTTGACGCGTCGGATGTTTTCACAATCCAAGTGTGTGTGTGTGTGGGGGGGGGGGGTAAGGGACTCTCCCCGAAAAAATATCTTTTCAGTAACTATTAATTTTAACTTCTCGCGAAACTTTCAAGAAACTAAAGTAGAGCTAAAGCACGTACTTTCTCCTCCGTATTTTCACGCAAAATTACCCGAAAAGTATATTTTCGAAAAATTGTGCATGGCCGTAATTAACTTTAAAATTTTAGTTGTTGGAAGACAAAAAAACGCTGAGGTTTTGCAATTGTCGAAAATTTAATGACCATGGGGACAACACCATTCACAGTATGTTAATGTCTTCACAGTAATTAACAAAAATAAAAAATGGAGCCATTTTTCCCATCCCAGGTGCTTCATGTAAAGTACCCCCAAAAATTAAAATATCGGTTTTAAATTCCAGGAGTCGTGACATCAGTCAGATCAATTGAAAAAATTCGGCAGAACGATTTAGCCGTTCACAAACGGAAGATGACAATTTCCCGTCATTCTACTTTTCGGTACAAAGGAACTACAAAATATGGATTATGACTACACGTGTAAAAGTTTTTTTTTCTATATATTTAGCAACTAGATTTATCCTCTCGTTAGTTACCAGGGCCCTGTAGACTTTTTCCGCTGAATATTCTCATTCTTTAGGCACTACTTTTTTTCTACTTCATAAAAATATTTTTGGATAATCATTAAAACGAATAAAATCGATTCGCAGCTTGAGCTGAGTGCGCCTGTCATGCGCCTATGTCATTGCGCGTAGTCTGTAATATCACACATTTGACCAAAACCATTTTGAATAAAAAAAATGATAATAATCTTAATTTACCGGTCAGTCTGGGATTTTTTATAGTATCCCTGGGGTGGGGAAGTATATTAACAAACGGGCGTGATTAGATGACCTAAAACATCGCTAAAAATAATCAAAATATTCTTAAAATGCCCTGGAAGTAAAGAAAAGTGACGTAAAATATTTTATCGAAATCAATTCAGATGCGTAACTCAAGTTGTTGGATATGTTAGTGATGTACTTGCTGTGGCGGAAGGAGGGCGGGGGCCATGTCACCATCCCAAAAGGCCTAGTGAAAAAATAAAAATGAGAAAAAAAAATGTACAGACGTTTAAAATGTATAGAAAAAATAACCGCGCGTTCTGTTCTCAGCCTTTTAATTACGAATGGGAATCCTGATTCTCGCTGTATTTTAGCCCAGTGGTATGGAAGATTTGTTCGACCATTCTCGTGTGACAGCTCATTTCTCTTTCTTACTCCGCTTGACAAGCGGTGCAACAGAGATTTCCACGTTTTGGAGCATGGTCGACGCAAAAGGCAACTGTGTTGACAGAGTAAGGGGTCTCTCTCTCTCTCTCTCTCTCTCTCTCTCTCTCTCTCTCTCTCTCTCTCTCTCTCTTTCTCTCTCTTTCTCTCCTCTCCTCTCCTCTCCTCTCTCCCCACTCCTCTCCTATCCTATCCTCTCCTCTCTCCTCTCCTATCCTCTCCTCTCTCTTCTCTTTCTCTCTCTCCTCTCTCTCTCTCCTTTGTAGGTGCCAAGCGAGCGATCGTGGGCCACTGATCGCGCGATTACAGTGTGCCCAGAACAAAAGAATTGGGCATGGATCGCTTACATGTGCCTGGAGATAAATCCATTCCCTATTCGTGGTTAATATATTGTGATCCTCCTTTGATGGGATTAATAATCATGCAGATGAACCGATGAGCACACGTTTATTTAAACTTAAGATAAAATTATTAATAATTAATGTGGGACAGGGAATCTGTTTAGGAGTAATCTTTTTGATCGCATGTGCTGACTGCACACAAAAAGAAAAAAAAAACTTCTTAAAAAAAACAAAACAACAACAACAAAAGAAATCTGGTATTACGCTCTGAGGGCCCATATGTATACATATATAGCGCAATATTCAAAACGAGCTTGCCGTTTGTTTGAAAAGGGTAATAGGTCAGTGTTAGTGGGAGCGTAATCTCGCAGCCGTTTGCGTCAGCGATTGCTTTCAGCTTACGGCAGCGAGGGCAGGTGATAGAGAACTCCAAGTCGTAAGGTAGGCATTAAAATCGCCTGCCAGGAGTGTTGGAGTTGTGTTTGCATCAACTAGTTTTGCAATATCTGCGGCTAGTAGGGCACACATTCCTTCAGAGCGGTTAGGACGATCTGTGATCTCTTTTTTTTAAGAACAGAAAATAATTTTATTGATTTCCTGATGTCAGATTGTGCTTTTCAGAGAGTTGGGCTGGTACATCATATTAATATGTTGAATTTTATCCTGATTTTTGCTATTTTTATTTCAGCTGACTATGTATCCTTTCCCTGAAGTATGATCTGATCTATAGATTGCAATTTTTTCAACTCTGCCCCTGATAGGTGTTGGCTGTTTACGGTTTTATCCGATCGGGAGCTTGAACGCCACAATAGTGACGTCACTATGATCTAATCGGGAGCTTGAACGTCACCATAGTGATGCCACTATGGTGCCGTTCAAGCTCCCGATTGGATGAAACTGAAAACAGCCGATACCTGGCAGGGGCAGAGTTGGAAACATAGCAATATAGAATTTTCGAATTTTTGAATAGCACAGCATACTCTTCTTAGAGAATCAGAGTGCGTCGGAAAGAAAATGAGTGACGCAGTGGTGATCCATTGTAGTGTTTGGGACATTGTGTTTATTCGTAATTTCGCGGGGATTTGTAGTAACTTTGTAATGTAATAAGTGATTTGTCTAATGTAACGGGTATTCAGGAATTATTAATTGTGGTATGTCTGAGTGAGTGTATAATTGACGATATTTTGAGAACATTGTCAACGTGGCAGTTACACGAGAAGAAACAGATAATTGAAAACGGTGTGCCAAGACCAGCCTTGGCACAATTATAGCCGATAACAGAAAATTGAAGTACAGGGGAGGGAAGCCGTTTGGCCGCTAGTATCTGGGAGTATACAAAGTAATAACTGCATGCCCCTTTGTGAAATTGAACATAATGTAGAAAAAATCTTGTTTAATTATTTTATTCCTTCCGAGAATACATGCAATTCATTCAGACAAATGACACTGGGTTAAAAGTTGTAATAAATAGTTACAATTTAAGTTTTGTAAAAATGTGGATGTCACTTTAAAAATGTAATTTTGTTATATTCTAATCTGTTTATTACAAGTTCCCTTTTTCATGTTGGATAGACATAAATAATATATGTTCTATTGATTTTGTCAATACACAAATAATTTCGAATTGTGATCATGATATATTTTCACATGATTGCTTGTAAAAAATATTGTGTTAACATTGTGACCGAACATAAATCAATCAACAAAAACTGAGAAAGTACACATTTCCTATATTTGTTACATTTTAACGTGATTGAAAAACCTTTTAAATTGGTATGTATCTTGTGACAATATTTAAAGTACGACTATATATTACTATTAGTACTAGGTATAAAGTATTGCCATCTAGTGAAATGAAGCAAGGGGAATTTGTGATAGAAATATTTGTTTCATTTAAAAAAATTATAAAACCTTTTAATGTTATGTATTAAATAAAACTACATATAACATTGTATAAGTGTTTCCTTTTATACTGTCCTTTCAAATAATTCTTTCTTGCTTTATTTATAATAAAAATATAAAATGATTCTGAAATCGAAGTAGAATGATGTAGAAAGTCAATTAAATAAATAAATTAAAACAAATTCAAGTAATAAAAAAATTATTAATGAGTACAAAATGTGAATTCAAATAAGTATTTCGAAATTCCCACATAATTTTTATTTCAAATTTTCTTGTTGCTCCTTCGGGATTGGCTGATATGACATAATCGGATTTGATACAGGAAAAGATGGCGCTGCCGGAATCTGTCTACACACGGCGTTATGTTTTAACGAGTGTTGGTTATACTTGATGCAATATCCTTGCAACATGGTTGTATTCTTTGGGCCAGAGAGTAGATAACTTTAGACCGAGTGAGCTGAACGCTAGCTGAACTTGCATTCGAATGGTGGAGGCAGATTGTGTTTACTGAAAGAAAGAAGTTGGGTTACGAATGATACGTTAAACTCGTTTTGAGATTATTGACTCGCCTAGAATTGTAAATCGATATATAGGGAAGTATTGTGTTAAATTACTTACATCGCCATGCCTTCCAACGATCCCGAAAAATTTGATGGAATGTTGTTGGCGATGGCGCAACAACTTGAAGGTGGTGTTCAAGAGGTGAATTATAGATATTAATTTCAGTTTTGTGTACCCCTGATTAAAATAATGCTACTTTGTATTGGTTGTAAGTTTTGAAATAATCTACACATTGGGAGATAGGGTTATGAGGGGCCATGTTTTGTTGAACGCCAGTGAGGAAATTGATTTTTTTTTATTTGCTATCGTAGTTATGAAAGTAATTTTATTATTGTTGCTTGTATGTATTTCGTTTCAGATGTTGTAAGGTTGATTCGAGTTAATTTTGGTATGATTTAAATTTGACAACTCCACATGTTTGTTTAGTTCTAACATAGTTTCTCCCCAGAATTTGATACATATGCCTTATTAGTACACATTTTTTAATACTAATTTTCCTTGAAAAGTTTGACTCAAGTATACTTTTTACTAATATAAAATCCTTTCCTTGCTGTATATACCATTCTTTTCTAAAGATATTCTCATTTTAAGGTGTTATGAAGTAATCCAAATGTTTTTGTGTGGAAAGACCATGCGATGGAAAGTAATAGTTTTTGTTCTTTTATGTAATTGTATCTGTAAAATTCTTTAAGTTAACGAGTAAATACACTTCACATTTGTAGGCTATATATTATTATTATCAGGGCTCGAATTCTGATGAAGTGTCCTCTTTTCTTTTCATTGTAGATGTAGCAAACTTGTAAATGAATGTTTATTACAGCCTATTGGTGATAGCAATGTATAGTTGTTGGGTCGCACTTTGCCATTTTTCAATTTTTAGGTCATTTTTCTGAACCTTTGTGTCAATTTTGCATTTTTACACATTTTGTTTAGATTTCATGCTTTTTTTTTTTATTAGTGAATAATTCATAATTTTACAATGACAGTTTAAAACAATGTATTTATTATATCATTGGTTCATGATGAAATTCACTACAGCAGTTGACTTTGTTTTTTGAACTTTTGAAATTGCAAATATCTTTGATAACTTCCTCGACCTTTTAAAACTGACAGTTGAAATATCAGAGCAAAGGATTACATTTCCTCCTAAAATAAAAATTTTATATCAACACATATTCAAATTTTTTAGCATTTTTTGAAAAAAAGCTCTTTTCCCCCTATTTTTATGTCATTTTCAAAGAGTTTTCAGGTCATCAGAATCCTTACCCTGATAGTTATTATTTCAGAAATATTATATCACCCTAGCTCACTACAAATATGGACACAAGTCCATCCAGTTCATGTCCTTTTGCAACTGTAAAGTTTTTATCCAGCTTTGTTTGTAATTTGTGTAGGAACGTTGTTCCAGCTAATTCCAGAAAAGGCCATTTTTGAAAGGATTTTTTGTGAATAGTTTCATACTTATTTTGTAATAATTTCCATATGAACAATGTTCAGGATTAAAGTGTATCAAGTACAGGTATTTGGGGCAGTCGGTTTTGTATTTGGGAACAATTCAGTTAAATCTGAACTACACCTTTTCCTTAATAATGATAGGTTTTAAACACCTTGCTAATTTAATTTTTTTTATGACCATGAAATTTTGTGTTGCTTTGCTCCTATTGGTTTTTGATTTATTGCTAATGACATTAACAGAATTACAAATAACAATCTGTGTTGCTAATGAACATAAAAACACAAAACCTCTTCTGGACTGAGAAAAAAAATAATGAACATGTGTAGATCTTTAATTAGATTGTGATGAGGTAGATACCTTCTAATAATTAAGTGTGACAAATTAAAGATGTTGTCAAATATTGAAAAATATATTTTGCTAAAGATCGATTCAATTGCATAGCAATCATTCTCAGAGCTTGCAGCTTCTGGACTGAAAACAAAGTTCTGAATGAAATGTTTGTCACCCAGTTGTAAAGAGCTGTATAGTTGGGACTTTGCACTTTTCTAGTTACACAAGGATATCCCACCAACATCGCATGCTTACATCTTCCGCGTATTGAGTACATCATGCTTTAAGCAGTGGTTTCCAATATGGTGAATATGGACCACCTTTGCCTAAAAGGGTAAATTGAAACTTGCAAATTATTTATTCAATCTTGGGGAAGGTTCTTGTTAGACATGTCACTTTCAGTGGACATTTTCCTCCAGACTTGTGTTGTTACACTTGTCATCAGAAAGTTTGATCTCTCTCACTAAATGAAGTTTTGTAATATCAGATATCAGTGTTTTTTTTAAATGGTATTTGTGTATCGGAAGTTTGTGATGCACGTAACATTTATTGTATACCCAATTATTGCTTTGTTTCTTCTTAATTCTGGTGTTTGTCTTTGGTTTACTTTATGGAGCCTTTGCATCTTGATAGGTTTTAATGTTCCAATGGTATTTTGTGTGGTTCTCAAGTTGAAGTAAGTATTGAGTATTGTGTAAGAGTGTATCTGCTTGTTTTCCACACTAGTGTGCAACTCAAGTTGAAATGTTCTCAGCGTAATGTGGAGTCAAGTTAAATGAGTAGTATATTGAAATTGGGTGCTTGCAATTATCATACACTTCTAGAGCTAAATAAAAATTAATTAATTATCCAACTTATTTAATTCTGTCAGTGAATAAATTCATAAATGAATTTGGACATATCCAGGGGAGTCAATTAAACTGAGCTCTTGTACATCAACATATAGGTGATTATTATAATTTATCATGGTCAGCTCCTTGGGAGATGCTAAAAACAGTGTGCCTGCATATCCTGTTGTATATGTACTACATTTAAATCACTTAGAGTCTGTTTCACCAGTTCCCTAATAAACTGTGTGATAGTCTATCCTGAAGTTATCTTACTGATTTGATGAAAATAGTTAAAGTATCTGGTAAATAATCTGGAGGTTTGAGACACTATTAAATCTGATCTTATAGGTTAGTATCTGATAGGTATTAAAAAATTATCTGATAGGTTACTTCAAAATAACTAAATTTGTGTGTGAACAGATTTGTGTCTTTGATAGAAAGTAAAAACAGAAAACGAAAACAAATTATTTGTGAAGATTGACTTTAATTTGTGCAAGTAATGGCCCTTCTATTTTCCTTTTGTGAAAATTATAAAATGTATACTTTGTTTTCTTAGAAATTTTGAGGTATCGCCAATGAACTGACTTCTTCTCCCTCTGCATTCTTTTGCCACAGGATCTTTTTTAATTGTAATTAGAGACTTCAATTGGGTGAACAATCTACTGCTTCAAGTGTAGTAAGTGAAGTGTCATTGAGACCTGCAGAATGCTAATAAAATTTCCAAGGAATATAGAAATCACTCAAGATTTTTATGCAATTGCTAGATTTTCTAGGGTTCTTGCAGCAATAGATTGCACACATGCTCCCATACAATCTCCTGGCAATATGTAACATACATTTTGTCGATGTTTAAGAGAAGTGATGTTTCAAAAAATTAATTGCAAGAGAAAGGTTTTAAGCTGAGTGGAGCCAGTGATTTTATGGTGTTTCTCTGCATAGTGTCCTATGAACTATCATTATGAAATGTTTTTAATAATCTAATTAAACACAAGTATCCTTTTGTTTTTTAGCCATGAATGAATTTATTTCTCCGAAAAAGTCTTTATTGTCAAACACAATGATTTGTGTCAATTATATTCATCTTAAGAAGTATTCAAAAACATACAGGCTTAATTGACATAATCTGTCTAAAAATAAAAAAAAAAGTCCAACACATTTTGAAGAAAGTGAATAAAATAAAAGAATCAAAAATAAAAGTTAAATAATAATAAGAAATGAAATTCATTAAAAAATCAAGTATAAGTGAAAAAATATATAAGTAGCAAGTTCAAAATATAAAAGTAGACAGGAGAGTACTTGCCAAAACAAGTGAAATGAAGCACATATTTGTACAAAAATAGAACTAAAAAATGATATCCAAAGGATTAATCCAGTCACAGAAAAATTCCCATTGTGAGAACATATGTAAAAATCTATGGGGACGTTGAAGCTCCCGATTGGATGAAACCGTAAACAGCAAATTTACATTAAATGTGCCCTGTGAAATAAATCCTAGTATAAGGAGAGAGCAGATCAGCATAAAAAATAAACATTGTATTGAATAGACAAAAAATCAGAGTTGGAAGGAACAGATCTAACCATAAGTACACCATTAAATTTATAAACATAATTTATAAACATCTCCACTTCGTGGTATTCATAACACCTATTTAACAATATACCACGTTATAGAAAACTGCCCAAAATTCAGTTGTCAAAGACAGTCTACTAATATAAATAAATCTAATGATACCTTATTGTATTTGTTCAAAAATCAGAACAAATTGATCAAATTTTGTGAAAATTATGATACTTTATATTTATATTATGATATATTAGTATATTATATATACAATATGTGGTGCCATACAATGTTAGGATAAATGTTATGACACTTATATTAATATAATGATGGATGAAATTATAATCGTCTAAGCACTTGCTATAAATCGTTGTAGTCACTAATAACCTTAGTTGTTGATGCGTCTCACTGAAAGTAGAGAAAAAAATAAAAAGGGGAAACAATCGGGAAATCTATCACAAAGTATAAAAAAAAAAAATTATTTTTAGAAAGAACATTGTCATACAGATTTGTGAAATGATTTGATTCTAACATGGAATTAATATTCTTGTGTTTTTATCTATGATTTTCTTTGTTTATTCTAAAATATTTTCTGGGTCCATTATCCAAAATTAATTTTTATTTTAAGAGAGAACATTGTTATAAATGCTTGGAAAAAGATTTGATTTTAACATGGTTTTAATAGCATGTTAGAATGGATTAATAACATGTTAGTCAAATCTTTTCACAAACATTTATCATAATATTCTTTCTAGAATAAAATTACAATAAAAATATATATTTTTAATGAAAAGCATTTTCATTGATTGTTAAAAAGCATAAGAATACTTCAATAGTTATTATTCAAGTGACGATTATATTTTTTTCTCACATTTTTATCTATTTAAACTTTTCTAAACTTCAGCATTTTTGTACAATTTGTTTTTGTGTTGTTGGTGTTTAAAATAGATCACTCTCGTTTAATGAGGCTTCACACCCTCTTATCTGTAGGATTTTAGTCGAGAATCTGGCTTCATTCTGTTGTGATGTTTAAGTCAATATACTCTGATTTTTATTTTCTTAATTTAATTGTAAATTATATGCTCTAAAATTCTGTTCAGGGAATGAATAATATTTAGACATTTATTTTTATCATATGTAATATGCTGGTTATCACAGAAGTCTCATTATTGAGTAATTAATGAGAAATGGATGATAGAAATTAAAGAATCCTATTTCTGTGATATCCTCCAGAATCATGTCAAAATTGTAATGGATTTCTTTGCCTTACTCCACGTTTGATTTCAGAATCGGTCATTTTTAGTAAGCATAATTTTCATTATAATTTTTTCAACAACAAATATAAAAAAAGTTGGAACAGTTGGAAAAACATTTGCCTTAATCCGTCTTCAGAGCCTCATACTTTAATTTAATACATTTCCCTTCGCAAAACGCTTCACCTCCGCCGAGCTATTGAAAGTCTTTTCAATCGATATCCATGTCATGTCCTTATCCTGCCACATGGGAGCACCATTTACTGTACATTCAGTATATCTGTTCCTCTCCGCCGCAAGGGATACAAAGCTGTTTCCTCACGTGTAAAATTACCTCCTTTCTGCTTCTTTTCTCTTTCCATTTTGAAACTCCTACACCCACCAAGTACGATGCAATAAAGCAAACTTTTACACCGACTTCGCACACACCTCACGCCGAAGTAAACGGTAACACAAAGTAATGATGGAAGTGAAAAACATCATTATCAAAACCATTTGAATTCGCGCGTACGGAGCGCGTTTGACCCGAAAATGCGGCGTTGCCGCTGCTTAAAGAGCAATCAGCTAGATTATTTATTAGAAAGATATTTGTCAGATATTTTAACAAGAAAGGCCTTGGTGAAACTACAAATAAATGACACTTCTCTCTGACAGGTTATCGGATCAGTATTTGGAACTTATTAGGAACCTGAAACAAGTCCTCCGTTTTAGTGTAGTGCGATTTCATCCCGAAATAGAAAATAAACGTCTCATCTTTAATTTTTACTTTCTCGTTCTTACGAATGCAAGTATTGTAATCGCGCCGAAAAATAGCAATTTTTCGAACGAAAAGTTTGTTGTCGGGCTATGGTAACAAAAAGTGGATAAATCAAGTTCCTATAGTAGAAAATTACTTCCTCTAACACGCCTCTGACTGTGTCTGACCCTCTAAACCAATTTTTGCTTTGTCGTATACGTGCGTACTTTCGGAGTGACATACGTTGTATACAGAAAGTTGTGTAATGCTGCGGAAAATCGATTTCGATATTTCAATGGATATGCACTTTTTGGGGTCTCCAGATACCAAAAAACCTGATGTTTTTTTTCTTTCAATAATGCCGTCCGTTGTGAATATCAGTAGCGCCTAAATCATGTATACAGCGTTTTCCAAAATGTTTAATCTTTATACGGAGATTTTGAATAGTTAAAAAAAAAAAAAAAAGGGGTACTGTGCATGAGCCCCTGGGACATTTTCAAAATTTTCTCAAAAATAGCTCCATTTTTTTTCTTTTTCATTTCTTTTAAGAATAAAGTAAATTACACTTATAAAGATGTGATAGGTCTAATTTGTATGGTTAGCTCTGAATTTTCGAAAGTTGTAAAAGTTTGAATTTTGAATTGAAAGGTTCCGCCGAGCCCAGATTGAAGATCCTATGCTGAAGAACGTAATTTTTTACAATTAGGAACAAAAATTATCCACCTTTCCGATTTAAGAAACCCACAAAAATGATTTCTGAAGGAAAATCGCTTCCCCCCCCCTTTTTTTTTCTTTTTTCCAGCATTACAATACTTTCTGTATACTACTACTTCATTAGTATGCAAGTAATTATCATGTATTTACATTGACATCCAATCCTTATTCTGTGTTAAAAGGACAAAATAACATTCACAGTAAAAAATAATGAAATAAGACCTTTTCATCTTCTTAATCTTATTCTCTAGATAGTTCCATTTTAGTCTATTTTTCTAGTTCTATTTTCAGTTCCTGAGATCTGTATTTTGGGATATAACTAAATTATTTTAAAGATGTGACTTGCACCTCCTTTTCTATGACTGCCTTAATTGTAACTCCCTATACCCTGCCATTTATCTTTCTTTTATTACTGTTCTTTTTATTCATTTTATGTTTGCTATTTGGGAGCCTAAACATCGGGATGAACTGTGATAAGCATAGTAGATGGGTTTTGCATTTTCAATTGAACAGATATTCACATTCTTGGTTTTTAATGAGGTTTATAGTTTTACAAGTTTCTTATTATTTGATCATAGAATTGTGTGTCACAGAAAGTAAAATGCTTATTGATAAATTTCTTATTTTTCAGCTTTTGGACACCATTTTTAGTTTTCTTGCTCGCAAAACTGATTTCTATTGTGGAGGGGGTGAAGGCGCGGCTGAAAAGGTAAATAATTGAATTTGTTGAAGTTATTGTAAATATTTGGATCATCTTGTGGTCAGCAAGATATTTTGTTATCTTGGTGTGTGTTACTCAAATATTTCCAAAAGTGATTGCATGGCAACAGATTTCTAAACAAACGAAAAACTTAGGAGAGGAGGGGAAAAAAAGCATTATACAGGATAAACCTATGGTTACTGATTTCAGGGAAAAAGAAAGAAAAACCTGGAAATCACACGTGAATTGAAATAGAAAAATTATAGGAAATGACACTAGGTAGACATTTGGCATGAGCTTAAACCCTGGCTGAGAGAAATAATGATGTATTGATGTGACTCAGCATATAATAAATATGAGAGACCTTTTTAAATGTCTTTGTTTAGTTATTAGCAATATTATATTAAGTATCTTTGCCCATAAAATATCAGCAATAATTAACATGCATGAGGTGTTAAAGAAAAAGTGATTATTTTCCATAATTCAAGTAGATGATAAGATCTGAATTCTTACGCTATCTTTTGTGAAATTTCTTATTAGTCTACTAAGAGCAGTTATAAAAATGTCATTACCAATATTTATTTATTTAGTTAGTTTACAGACAGCAGTACAATTGATTTTGCTTGAATTGGTATAAATAACATGTATAGTATATTAATTAGGAAAGGAAGGGAGGAAAAATATAATTGTATGATAATGTAAAACGAAGTGTACAGAAAAAAAAAAGAAGACAAGTCTCAAATACGTGTGTTCTATAAATTGCCACAGAAAGTCTGCCACAAGATCCTTGGTCTATTGAGGGTTGATGACTTTGGAGTGCAGTGGATTGATAATGTCCACTCTGAGCTTCCTGGCACTAAGCGTCACTTTGCGTTTATTACCTTCCTCAATATTCCAGAGATACAGCATAATATTCTGGGAAACGCACCCTAGAACTCCCAGATTTGTAGATTACAAAAAAAGAATTGTATGAATAATAGGCAAATCCCAGCAACATGATTCTTGTAAGCATCTCTTTATTAAGCTAGGAATTTCACCATTTCCTTGCCTCGACAACGAAAGTAATGTGAATTTTAAAAACGATGTGTAATACCATTTGGACTATTATTCTAAGCAACCTGTAACAATATTGTACCTCGGCTTCTAGGTCAATGACCCTCATCTCGATCAGGTTTTTCTTCCAATTTCCTTTATTCTTTCAGAGAACACTGAATAGTTTTGGTTCTTGGCATAAATGTAACTTCACCATCTGTGCATGTTCACTAGAGTTCAGAGGGAAATATTGTTATTCAAATTAATGTTCCTTTTTTTTGGGTCCTTTACGTAGGGCATGATGAGAGATAATGACCTAACTCTGTAGCTAATTTGCCTTTGCAATTTACAGGAGCTCTGCCAAACACACTTGTCCATCTGCTTTCAGAAATCAGGGGTTAGGGTATGGATCTCAAAATTTAAGAAAACGTACACAAAATACACCTCTTCTGATAATATGTCACACACAGTTTTTAAATGTTTTGATGTTAAATAAAATAATTAAATTGATTTGGAGTACTTATTCACATTGGTTATTTTCATAATGATCTTCATATTAGTTATTATCTTTCCTAGCATGCAATGCAATGCAAAGCAAAGCAATGCTATATAACTGTTCTCTATATGTGCAAGAGTATTGAATTGTTAATTGATTGATAAATTTTAATATATCATGAACAAAATTTTAAAATACTAAGTAGTTGAAAAGTGCATTAAATGTGCATTATCTTAATTTGAATTTTTACCACAGCTTGTAATGGGCAAGTTCAAAAAGTACGAGACGCAGGCATTGGAAATACAAGGTAAGAAGAAGGAAGAGAAGGAAGCTAGTGAAAGGAAACGCAAAGAGAGAGCACAAAAGAAAAAAGAGGAGGAGGAAAGGAAAGCATCAGTGCCCACTGAAGCCACAATCACTGAACTGACCGAGGAGGAAGCGGAAAAGTTACAAAAAGAACTTAATGAGGTATGCATGAGATTATATTTGGTTTCACGAATTAAATATTCATGGTTTATTTTTAAACAAATTACACAGTGTTCTGTTATATTTCAGTTAATTCTTGTTTTTCGTTGTAAATAATAATTTCGAAAAATTGAAGTATTGTTCATCAGAATTTAGAGTTTACAATTTTCACAACCTGAGAGTAATACTTTGATTATCTCAGTGACAGTAATTTGAATTGAGAATGAATGCCTGTCATCTGCCACACTGCTGCCAAACTTCTGCCTACTGATTGTCTCCTGATTGGCTCTTTCCTAAGTATTGAGCTGTCACTCTCTTTACACCTTTGTCCTTTTATTCATACAATGAAATATAATACAACTCTCACTCCAAAATAATTTCTCGGACTTCATCCAATCCAGAGGTTTTTTTTCCCTAACCATCCTCTATAATATCTTTATCAATAATCCTCTCCTATATTAATTTAGTAGTATAGATGAGTTTTGTGTCTCTCATACACAACCAATCTTTATCAATAATGAGTTCTCAAAGAAAGAGAATTTCGTGGAGATTTGAGGAATTTGCACTGTAAATATGAAGAATTTGTTGAAAAAATCACATCTAAATATTCATGTAATATGCAATCCGCAGCATTCTAGCAGCTGTGTTGATATCTATATAATTATAGGAATCCAAAAGAAGCATTCTATGCCCTTAAAACCTGAGGTTTTGAGGACAATGACCCCAAAGAAACGTTCCTCACACCGTATTCTACTGGATTTTCTTGGACATTCTATTAAATAGTGGCTGGTTTAGCGCTTCACAATATATTATTGCATTGCAATTTCATTTTCGAATGTTACAAAGAGCGGAGTTGTATTTGCTCGCATCTGTATTTACGCACGGACAACTTTCTGTAGCTTTCTCAAGAGTAAAAAGCTTTTCTGTTATTTTTGTGGCCGTCAAGGAAAACGAAAAGCAAACTGTCAAGGAAAATTGTAAACATTCTTTGTATGTTTTTAAGGAAATATTGTGAATTGTTCCAAGAACATCTGTCTGTAATACCAAATGAGCCTTTATTGAAAATTTGTTTCAAATATCAATTGCATCGTTTTTAATTTTTTTTATTTTTTATTTTTATTTGTTATTCTGTAAAGACATGGGGTTTTATATACAATTTTACATTTTTAATCAAATAAACACATTTCGTTAACAACTTTCCTCCCTAATATGGAAGCGGAAGCTTAGGGAAGAGGATCGAGTTTAACATGCGAGTGTTTTCACATAGGTATAGAATAATATAGTTATTTTGATTACTAGATGATAGTACTTAACATTATCATTTACTTCCTCCGGGCAGTCCGAACAGAACACAGGGAGGGTGGGTTGTGAATTTTGCCTCATCAACTTTAACGGGGCCTGTGTAAGATTTAAAAGGTATCTTCTAAAGATTTAGTCTCCTTTTTACCATAATGACTGGGAGATTGCCAACTCATCATTTCAATAAATATGGGCATATCTACGATGCATATCCTGTCATTTATAAATAATTGTAAAATTACTGAACATTCTTTCTTTTTCAAATATTCTAATCCACTTCCTCATAAACTTTTCTTTTGATTGTACTCCATCATATTTCCTTTCTTGCTACTACTTATGTAGTATAGAGAAAGTGTTGTAATGCTGCAAGGAAAAGAGGCGAATTTTCGACACAATAACTTCTAGTGGAAGGCCCCAATAATGAAAAAGTGGATAAATCATTGCCTTATAAATAATAAATTACTTCCTCTAACACGTTGCTTAGTCAGCATACATATTTTGTGTTCCGAAAAATCAATTGACGACAAAATCTTCATCTGTTCGTCTGTGATCAATTACTAAATGTTATTTTCTCAAAATTGTTTATTATTTTATAAAGTAAATATATTTAATTTTAATTAGTTTTTATAACTTTGTGTATGAAATCATATTTAAATATGTTCCAAAATAAATTATGCAAACCATCCACCTGGTATACTAACCAGATAAAAATATTAGAGAGAAAAGAACTTGCAAAAAGACTAGAAATGCACAAAAAACTTTCAAAATGACTAGAAATACTTCTAATTATGATAAGTTTTTTAAATTTATGTAAAGTGCTCTGTATATGATGAGAAAGGTATTCTCCAAATTACACAGCCCCACAGGTGGGAAAATTTACATAACATATGTTCAATCCATAGTATGCTAATGTAGTTCGTTCTCCATATTATAAAAAAGACATACAATGTCTGGAAAAAATACAAAAATGATTAACTAAGATCCCAAGAGAAAATCGCTTAGATTCCAGTTATCAGGGAAGATGTAAGATGTCCTTATTGTCACTCAAACAGAGAAGAACAAGAACCGATCTTGTAGAAACATAAAATTTTGAATGGACTACACAAAATCCCATGACAAGAATCCCTCTTTACAATATCTACTGATGATAGACTACAGGGACACAAGATGAAATTGAGGAAAGAGAAAAAAAAAGATTGGACAAAGAGCAAATTTCATCTCCAATAGAATAGTCAACGTGTGAAATAAACTACCAGCGGAACGCATCGAAAAGGAAACTCTGAGTGCGTTTAAAAATAACTTTGATAAAATTGAGTTATAAATAGTATATAGATAATATATAAATAAATAAAATAGTATATAAATAGTGATGAATGATAGTCTGATGTGATATAAGAAATATTTGCAATAAACTATTATGTTATATTTGATAAGATATGTAAATGAGCCATCGATTATGATTATAATGATATGTGAATATACTATTGTACAAAATAGAAACACTGTATTATGCAATACGATTATATATGTGTATAACCATGTGTTGCTGCTACCATTATTCAATAAAAAAAAAATTATAAAAATAAAAATATGGAAGATTATAGAAAATACATTGTAAATACTGAAAATTTGATTAAACAAAAGACAAATTTACAACTACAGGAAATATAGATGTTTATACAATGGTGCAACATGAAAGCCTTAAATATTGGTAAATGTGAAATTGTATGTTCACTGCCTCTTATTACCACCATACACTCTATATTACCACCATACACTGTATTGGGCAACAATGCAGCGATGGATATTTGAGACGTTTGTTGTTGAATGGTGTCATGATGGAAAAAATAAGATAAGGCAGTTAATGTTAGTGTTACAATGTTCTCTATGTTCAATAAAATGGTATATTCAACTTTATTAGTGTTGAGAAGATTGTATATACAGATATGCATAACGTAATGATATCGTCTTATTGAATGCATTTAAAACACAATTTATTGGATGGCCTTTAGTTCTAATGTTCAATTTATATGTGAAATTATCCTTTCTTGCCTGTATGATATGTTAGAAATAATGTCATTATATACAAGTTATGGGAGGAAGTATGCACTGTTATAGCTCCTGCTAGTGCATCTATTTCTCTAGGCTGTGCAGTAAGTTAAAAGAGAAAATTTGTAAAAGCATTTGGATGAAGAATCTGCATGCATTCAAATAATCATAATCATTATGAAGAGAAGGATAGTTGATCTGGTGTCTGTTCGTGTTAAGACAGTAGATCTGGTGATTATTGCTGCAGATATTTATAATTTCAATTTTTCACTGCCAAAAGTCCAAGATTGAGTATGATCAGAATAAAAGAAGATAAATTCAGAGTAACGTGAATCAAAGAAATGTTTTCTGACAGTATTATGAACTCCTATCTCATAAGGAGAAAATTCCATGGGAATCATTCAGAAAATTTATCTTGAATTTTTTTGGGAAATTCTCTTAAAACTTCAATGAAAAGGGAAAAAAATATGTTAATGTTCTTTCATCAAGTTGAAAGTTTAAACTTTTTCTTTTGTTTCCTCTGCTTCCTTTTGGACCTTTTTCTGAAAGCGTGCAATTTCTGCTGAAAATCTCTTCCAGCACCTTCATCAAACTTTTGTAGTATTTTAAAGACAATACCTAGGAATCTGAAATATACCTTTATTTACTAGTACATTAACTGGACAAAACATAAGCATGTACATCAGATCAGTTACAAATAAAATGCCAACAAAAGCCATCTTTAATGGATGTATTCTATGTATTTCTAACATATAGATGAGGAGACAAAACTTGTTCTCTTTTTAGAACTAAAATTACAAGACTACTGGACCATACCTTACCATTTTATTGTCATTTTCAAGTTCCGCAATACAAAATGAACTATTTGTCAATAATTATCTTCCTGTAACAAAAAACAAAATATATATTTGCTGCCCATATTGAATACGTATGTTTTCGTTCTTGCTAAGAGATGTAGGTAGAATAATTTACTAATTCCGTAGCTCCAAACCTAACTAAATGAAGTGGGGGGAAAAAATAAGGAAATAGCAACACTGCTGCGCGAGATGAATTTTGAATTATCGTACAGTCAGAAAATCAGGGATTGAATATAGTCTCTTCGGTTGACGATATGGTGAACCTGAAAGGTAGCAATCAAAGTGGTAGTTTTGTTTGGCACTCTATGCTGTCTTGACTTTACATTTATGATACATTAATAAAGAGTTGCCAGGATTTAAGAATATATCTTTAAAGATTAGTCAAATCTTCAATTACCTAATTAATTCCTTATGAAAAGTATGATTTAGGTCATTTGAATCTCACCTCATAACCTTTAACAATAACTAAATAAATTTTGCATGAATGGTTTTAGGAAAAGTTTGCTAATATTCCTTCACCATCTGAGTTGAGCACAGAAGAAAGTGAGGATTCTGCCAAAAAGGAAAAATCTGAATCTGATGATGAAGATCCAAAGGAAAAAGGAAAACTCAAACCCAATTCTGGCAATGGTTGCGACTTACCAAATTACAGGTGGACACAAACACTCTCTGAAGTTGAGGTAAGAGAACATTTCAATATATACCCTTTTGTAGATGTTAAAAATATAATTCATATAAAATCAGTGTAATGTAAAGTAAAACCTGTGTATAATACACATTTGATTTTGGTGCTATTCTATAAACAGATATCTAGTAATGCAGGTGTGAGATAAAAAAAATCATTAATTGTTACATTTTTGTGCTATCATTGCTGCTATCATCATCATAAGTTGTCTATAACTTTTCAGTTACGTGTGCCATTGAATGTAAATTTTCCTGTCAAATCAAGAGATATTAATGTTGTTATAAACAAACGCCATCTCATATGTGGTATACGTGGACGTGATCCCATAATTGACGGAGACCTCCATAGTGAAGTGAAATTGGAAGAAAGCACTTGGGTGCTTGAGGATGGGCGATCATTGCTTGTACAACTTGAAAAGGTAAGTTCATTTTGAATGAAAACAGCACCATTGTTATGAAAATTTATTAACACAGTGGACACAAAAACTTCATTTAATTTCTTTTGGAGGTCCTGCAAATCTTAAAAGTTTTGAGTGGAAATGAACTTGAAAGGATCCCACAACTATAATTAGTTTCCCAAGTTCCATGTATATATTAAAAAGAACTGGTGATTCACTCATCCTTGTTTTAATTTTTGATGTAAAATTGTAAAAGGCATTCATTGAAGATGTACTTTTAAAGATCAGATTTTATTTGAAAGAAATAACCAAAAAATAATAAAAATGAAAGGTTTAAAAAATATGTTAGAAATCATAATTACCTAGTTGTACTTATTAAATGGCTTAGTAATTATTTATTACTATTTGGTATTAATGACATTATTAATTTTACCATTTGGGTTTCTGTTGACAATTCCTTTAATTACAATGATTATAGGTTGACAAAATGGAGTGGTGGAGCCGGTTGACAACAACTGATCCTGAAATTAGCACACGTAAAATCAATCCAGAACCTTCCAAACTTTCTGATCTTGATGGTGAAACTCGTGGTCTTGTTGAGAAAATGATGTATGATCAGCGGCAACGTGAATTGGGATTACCAACATCTGAAGAACAGAAAAAACAAGATGTGATAAAGAAGTAAGTTCTGTGTTATGAAGCTCAATAAAACTATAACAAAGGTCATTATTGATAAAACAGTATTTTCTAAGTATACTGCCCTGTGTGGAAGCACCAAACCTCTGTGAAAAACACGTGGACACTAGTTTGGGAGTGAGGGAATCATAAGGGTAATTATTGTTTCGTGAGTTAGGGTTTCTTTTTCTCTGTCATATTTATAATAATATAAAGGGGAATACAAAATGGCAGTGGAATGAAACATTAACCCAAGCTACCAGTGAACTGTCAGAGATTTTTGTTTTCTCATGAAATACTTTATGTAGTACATAAACAGTTTTGAAATGTTGCACAAAGAACTGCTAATTTTCAACAGCAAAACTTGTTGTCCCTGATACTAAAGAAGGGAGCTTGCTCTCATATGTTGATGTTCTGAGATATGGAGGGGTGTCTGAAACCACATTTCAAAAACTTGATTCCAACAAAGGAAAATTATTTTCCGAAATCCGTCATTCCATCTGTGTGACTATAATATAATAAATTGTACCCAGGATTATTTATAGAATTGATTGAACTCGCTGATAAATCCTAGAATTTGTGAAAGATATGGGAATTTTGAGGGGTACTGTACATAAATCCTAATACCATTTTTGAAATATTCTTAAAATTGGCTTTGAATTTTTTTCTTTTTAATTTTTTTTTTTTTTTTTGCTTATAGACAGCAATCTACACTTGTGAAAATGTTGAGGTTCCAATTGCCACTGTAACCTGAGAATTTTCAAAAAACGTGAAAGTTTAAATTTTTTCAACTCCCTCCTCAAATTTTTTTTTATATAAAAGGGCGACTCATTGCTGGAAAAGCAAGAAAAATTCGGGGAAATTGATTTCCAAAAATTATATTAGAATTTCCAAAAATATCTATTCAGTGCTAGCCTGAGCCTTGGTATAATTAAATAACGATGGTATGAAGTTACACAGTGAATAGTAGTAAGAAAAAGTAATGGAATTTTTATATGCCATTCATAGTTATCATGAAATTATGTAAGATCTCTTTGTCAAAAGAACAGCAGCAAAAATTACCACTGTAAAGTATTGAAAAAGTGATTATTTTGCATAAATTGTAACCATTTTGTATGATATGAATTCTTGTATATCATTGATTGACAATATTTATGACAAGAAATTCATTTTATTCTCAGGTATATAAACACAATGCAAGGATGCACACACTTAAACATTTAAAAACTGGAAAAGGTTTGGCAACACCGTATCATCAGAAGGGGGTAGGGGGGTGCAAATGTCTCTTGAGGAATGCTTATTCTGTAAGCTTCGTATGTCATGGCCCTACGGTGACATTTCATTAAATGTGATTAAAACCCTTTTCCCAGTTACCAGAGTTCCTGCTTATAAGAGACAAAATTCCATTCTGCCAGGTCTCTGATAAAGGGGTTTTGCTATATTTGTTTAACATTATAAATCATACAAGAAGGTATGTGCTGTTGAAACACTACTTTTTGTATTACACAGGTGAATATTTCTTGTGAATTCAACACTGTATTTCGATTCATGTAATTGTAATATTGATGTTTGAGATTACTATAGTATTTTGCAGCGATCTCTTTGTAGAATATGATGGTTGGTGTTGCTGAGATATTTATCAGCTGAACGTTGGATATCCTATCATCGCTAGTGTATGACACTAGTGTTCTCTGGGGAAACCTGTGACGTTGATAATTATGATAAATGTTTCCCAAATCAAAGTAAAAGTTATTTCCAAATTCCTGTGAGGTAATTTTGTATTTTCTTTGTTACAGATTCATGGAACAACATCCAGAAATGGATTTTTCCAAATGCAAATTTAACTGAACGTAAATATATTTAGCTGCTTTCCTGTTCATTTGACACACATGAAGGATTTATTTGCAAATTTTGAAAGACTGTTTAAAACTGTCATGATCATTGCATATTTTATTATCTGCAAGGCATTTTTTAAACGTTTCAAGAAATTGTAATGATGTAGTAAAAGATGCAGTAAAGCTATGCATTTTTACTGCTGATAGTGTGCTTATGATCATTTTCAAGAAGGAATCGTGAAGGAATTTTCAGAATTCAAGAGGTGCAACTGTCATCAATTTCAGCCCCTATAGTGCAGTGATATAGAGCAAGAAACCCAGTTGCTGAAATATTCCTTCAAGATTTGACCAACTCAGTTTTGAATCATTGCTAACTGAAATAATACAAATTATTCTGGCAAATAAAAATTCATACTGTAATTTTTTTTAGTACTGTATGTGAATGTGTTCCTATATCATTTGTTGTGTTATAATGTCACATTGACGTTACATTGTTAAAATAACTAACCATTCTGTTCTTATTGTATTTACTTCCTGAAAAATTATTAGGAATAATATGAAAATTACCATTGATTTGAAATGTATCTAAAATTATTTCAACTAAAATATAGTAGTGGTCTTCAGTGCAGTAAATTTCAGTTGAATCTTTGAATATGACATCCAGTGTGAGGTTCTATAAAATACGTTTTTAAATGAACAGCAGCTTTGCTGTTTTTAATTTGTAGTGTTATAGTTTTCACAATTTTTTAAATTTTCATGTTATTGAAATAGGTGCATTAGCAACATTGCAACCCATGGATTAAAAAGTTCTGTGAAATTTCAATTGCCTGTTCTCATTATCACTTAAAACTTCTCGGTTTGTTCAATAACTTATTCTGATTTTTTGATTCCCAAGACTGTTATATATATGATAAAAATATTACTTTACTCACAAGACTATTTTATTGACTTATATCTGAATTATTCTTTCTACTGAAAATTGGGAAAACTGCCTTTGTATTTTTTATGAAAGCGGATAATCAGTTTCTACAAACATGAAAATATAAAATAAAATACAAGAAATGCTTTCAAATTTTCAATATTGAATTTTGGGTATTTGTAGAATGGAACTTCAAACCACTCTTTGTAGGATGGAACTTCACTTTTGTAGTTGAACATTTGCATATGGTGGTAAATATTTAGGACATCTTTATGTAACGTCACTGCACTTATCATGTGCACAACAAATTATCATTCATTGGATGTTCCAAAAGCACTTGCAATAAAGAAAAAATGCTATCAACCACCAAATATTTACGGAAGAATTATTTGTTTAATTTTTATTGTCCATCTTATTTGTCCCTAGCTTTCATATTTGTACTAAGGGAGAGCTTGTTGCAATGGATTCAAGCAAAGAGATGCTGGCTGTAGTGGAGACTGTTTAATCTCAGAGATGGGTAAATGATGGAGGAGATAGAGGGGAAGGACTACTGATTCACAAGAGGCATCAAGCGAACTTTGTGTTTATTATGGGCCATTCAGTTTTAAGAGGTCCGGAATTAAATTAGTTGCCTCTTGATCTTGGAAAAAAATCAGACTTTGTATATAAATTAGTTTCAAAACAAATCTTTTAAACATTCAAAAAAACGGGAGCTATTTTCATTTTAAGCAATGTGCCATTTTTCATGCTTGTATGCATTTACAGTTTTATAAATTACACAATGATAGGTTGTTATTGTTTCTAACTAAAATGCATTCAAATCAGAAAACTCAGGCCCTTGCTGATATTTATCTACCAATGTTTTTATTTTGTAATATTTACAACCAAAAATGATTAACACAAATGAACAAATTTTCATTTTCAGAGTAATGTTTCAAAGAATGAATGGTCAGTCATAATTTTTTTTCGTTTTTTTCACTAGTGTAGTTTATGTAAAATAAGCATTACGTTGCTTTCCACTTACAAATTACGCCCTCGTAAAACTTGTAATTTTGTTTTTTTCAACATTTTTAACTAATATCTCTGGTGTGAGACCAGATAAAAATTCTAAATTTTTACTTGTGAAAGACTGCTATGATACCAAACTGCAGTATAGATTTTAATTTTGAGTTATAACATACAGGTTTTAAAATATTGAAAATTTGCATAAAAAATGCTTAATTTCCACCTTGGGAAGAAGTGATGACTAGGAGCATAATATTATTTTTCCAGAGACTAAAATTCGAAATTTTCTTTGAAGAATTGGGGCTGTGTTTATGAAAAGAACATTCAAGTATTTCAATAAATGCAAAATTTGAAGCTTTTTTTACAGAAAATTTAGTTTCTGAAAAACTTAATTGGAAGTCATTTCAAGCACTTCCACTCACAAAGCAATTATGTATGCAAATTGCTGGGAATTAGCTAATTAAAGGTATGAAAGATTTATAATCTATAATTTTTGAAAAACCAAATTTACAGCAAAATGAATTTTGTTTCATTTTATTCTCGGCAATTAGCAATATTCCTGTGAGAAGTTTGAAGAAAATTGGGGGCTGCTCTTGGCAAAATGGGATTTGAGCATTTCTGCAAATGCAGAATTTTGATATTTTGAGAAACTTTGCAAGAAATAATTTATAGCGCATTTATTAATTAATGCTATAACGTGAACAAAATAGCCGCCTATGTGAATATTGATGTGAGAGACAAGTAAAAAGCTAGTAAAACTACAACAAATCTTCTCGCAATATTACGATGGTATCGTTATGTACGACGGTCGCGTATGTTTCATTAATTTCAAAGTACGCGAAAATAATAAATTTTACAAAAAAATGTACATGATCTTTTTAAAGAGCTGGATTTGTACAATAGGCTTTGTATGACGCAATTTTTGAACAAAATGAGCAATCCCCGAAAATGAGACTAGCACGATATTTTTACCGTCCCCTATTACATAGGTGGAAGAAATGAAAACATCTGGGGCGGTTTTTGAGGAAAAATAAGTTAAAAGAAAAAAAAAACTTATTTCACAAAAATTGCTTACCTTATTTAAAGAGGTGAATACACTTTTTACACTAGACATCGTCTGAAGCCAAAATATCTATCTTCCATTTTGTAGGTTTTTTTTTGCCTAGGAATACCCGAAAATGGGTCGAACGCCGTCTTTTTTTTTACCATCCTTCCCAGAAAATTTAAAGAAAAAATTTGGAACGGGTTTTAGGAAAGAAATGTGTGACATTCGCAAGCGTAAAATACCAACAAAAAAAAGTTTTTTCGAAAAATTGTACGTTTTTTTAACGCTCATGTGCTTGTAAATGTGTGATAAGAACAAATCGCCGCTAATATAAACATTAACGATGTGGGAGAAGTCAAAAACACAATTTTTTGAAAAAAAAAAAAAAAAAAAAGACCAATGGAAGGGAACCAGTTGAAATTGATGTCATTTTATAGTGCATTCAGCACTATCCCTACCAAAAGTTTAATGAAAAAAAGCTGTTTGTAGCTGGTTTCGAGAAAATCTTATATGTAATTTTTTCAAAAATTGCAAATATTGCATGCAAAATTGCTCGAAAACTACTCAAATTAAAAAAAAAAGTTATTACTGAAAGAGCTAAGAACAAACTTTATTTTAAGAAAAATCTCATCAATTTTTTAGTTATAGGAAAACACGAAAAAGTACAAAACTGAAAATATCGCAACTTCAGGGTAAACGGTAAAAAATATGAGTATTTTACTCTATTTTTACACGACATTTAAATAAAAAATATAGAGTCGATTTTGAGAAAAATTTAAAAATGTTCGTGGGTTTTCATGTAAAATCACGTCGCTCCGAGTGGAGGCAGATCGGGCGGGAATATGCACTTTGAAAAAACTCGCACGTATGGTTTAGGCGGACGGACGTTTTTGGAAATCACCACTTTTTCTGTATCAGAAGACCCCAAAACGTGTATTTCCGTTGAAATCTCGAAATCGATTTCCCACAGCATTACATAACTGTCCCTATCTACATATATTACTCCGTATGTATCTGGAAAGTAAAAATGGTTCCAGTTTTTGAATAACTTTTGTTGTTGAATATTGGGAAGGACGTTTAAGAGAATGGTGCAGGTCTCATTTTATTGAAATCCTGGTTTTTTGAAAATTGAAAAATAAGAAAAAAAAAAAAAAAAAAAAAAAAATGAAAACTTCAAAATTGAAGGTAAAGATTTTTGCCTCAGACGAAGTATGTTGAGCTCTCTAAATAATGTCGGATAAAATTTCTCGAAATCTCAACAATTTTCAGTAAAACAGCCCAAATTTCAGCATTTTCGGAAACACTCAAACACCATTTTCTCAATTCGCCTCCATATTTTTCTTCAAACCTTTCCAACGGATAGTACTCATTGCACTATTTAAGAAAGTATATAGTTACACAAATGTAATTTTTTTAAGGTTAAAAATGGCCTTAGCCAACTAGCGCGTGCAAAGCATGTGCAAAAAAGTTTGGGGTTAAAATCTCATTCCTCTGTTTCAGATTACTCCTACTCCAGGAAGTGCTTCGGTCGCCTATACTTCACCCGTTGATCGTGTTGGTGTGAGACGATCTCGGAAATAAGAGTTTTCCGAGACAGCTGCTTTTTTAAAAGCTTTTCACTCAATAGTTTTGGTAATATCCGCGCAAGTTTTCTTGAGCCCTCGCCTCGCTAGTTGCGAGAGGAGTGGGGAGTTAGGTTATTTTGACGACAGGAATTTTGCATCAAATTTGTTCTTCCTTTTTCGATGCAAAATAGTTGATACTACACAGGAGCGAACACTCTGGTTATCAGATTTTTGTCTAAAACTTCGTTGCTATAATTTATTCTTAATTCAACTACTGTTGGCAAAGGAGTGGGAGTAGGTAGTCCGGGCCCAAGAAAACGTGCGCTTATGATACTCAGATGTGACGGTGCTGCTCTACGGTTATCTACTAGCTGGGGCTGCCCTCTGAACATCTTAAAGTCACGTGTTCTGGACATGTCTACCAGAGCCTTGCAATTTTCCTTTAAAATCGGGGACAAAGCTGGAGGGTGCTACAATAGAAGGCGCTAATGTCGCCAGGTGTACGCAGACTAGACACGCCAACGTTTCCACATAAAAATGTGCTAATTTATGAGAAATATGAAAAGTGACTCCTATCTGTTCTATTATTCATAATAAAAAAACTTGTGAAGAAAGGGCGATCATCAATGCTATTTTTGTAACATTAGGAGCCTGCTCGCAGTCTGCTCGAGTCTAAGCAGCAGCTACACACGTTTAGTGTCGTTGGCAGCAATCCGAATTTTAGTTCCTGTAAGAAGGTGCTGCAGGAGAGCGCGCCTGTGTAATGGTCCACCCCGTTAAATGGGAGTTGAAGGGCCCTGATTTCTACGCTCTCTGGTGCCAGTGTCGGCGGACATTGAAACGATTGAAACAAAATTGTACGATGAAAATGACTGGACTTATTAATTATATATTTAAATTGTTATTTCTTCTTTATGCTGGAAGTGCAGTGTCGATTACACCTGTTGTATTATGGCATGGGATGGGTATGTCATTATCTTATTCATTATTTCTTGCGATCTCGTAATATAGCCAGTATGTGTCAATTTGCTGTAATCTCATTTTAAGGTGACAGTTGCTGCAATCCTCTTAGCTTAGGTACAATTAAAACAATTATAGATAGGACATTTCCAGGAATATATGTAAAATCTTTAAAAATTGGATCAACGATTATTGAGGTAATAAAAATGTGATATTTCAATTGAGTGGGCTCTTTTGTTAATTAATAATGGGCTCTTAAATTTATCTTTTCTAAAAACAGGATATGGAAAACGGATTTTTTCTGAACGTGAACCACCAGGTTGACTTAGTATGTAATCAACTTGCTGCTGATCCAGAGTTGAAGGATGGATATAACGCCATTGGTTTCTCTCAGGGTGGCCAGTTTCTGTAAGTTAATTTTAAACCTTCATTATGTCATTTTTTGTATTATGAAGAATAGGCTCTATATTTTGGGAAAAAATAATTTTTTCAGTCATTAAGATACAAATTTTGATATGTGCAAAGTGTATTTTTTTCTAATTTTTATATAATAATAATTTTATTATATTAAGGACAACTTTTATTTGTTGTAAACATATTTTATATGATTACTAACATTTTTTATAAAACATTGATAGTGGATATCTATGAAACAATTCTTTCCTTTGTTTAAAGACAGGTTTACTTCTCATTTGGGTAAGCTACGAATGTGTATTCTTAGCACCCTGGTAATTTGCAGGTTGATTATTTTTACTTTCTCGCTACTGCTTATGCAGTATAGAGAAAGTATTGTAATGCTGCATGAAAAACATTGAAATTTAAACTCAAAACTATAATTGAAGAGCCCTGGTAACGAATATGTGTATAAATCTTAGCCTTACTTATAGCAAATTACTTTCTCTAACACATTGTTTTGTCAGAATTATTTTTTTGTGAGTTCTTGATGCTGAAAAATTTGATTGATGGCAAAACTTCTCTCTGTGGCCAATTCTAGCGTCTAAACCGATTAGACATTTTTTTCCAAAAGTGATATTGCCCAATCAATTTGGCTAATGTCGTGGTCCCATGAATTTGAAACCAATATTTTAATTTTGTGATGTTCTGTACATGAAGTCACTGAAACATTTTCAAAATATTCAAAAAATTGGGTCCAATTTTTTGATTAAATTTTGTTCTTCTTTAAAGACAGATTTTGAAATAAAGTCATGTAAAATTGTTTGAGTCCCTTTTGCGTAATTTTTCATGAATATAGCAAGCAAATAATATGGAATAAACGCTGAAGTCTAGTATACGGTACAATTTACGGAAGGCATTTAAACCAGCACTTCGCGCCGCATTGGTGGTAACTGCACAGTGTGAATTCTGGAGACTTTCTTGATAAGTGTTTTTTTGTTAAAGTGAATTGGTAATTATGTGGTGGATAGACTCAAGGATGTTTGTGGTGAATTGGTAATAAATATCAAGTACAATTGTACTATAATCTCACTACCAAAGTGAGCTCAATGCACACCTTTGCATAAATGCAAACTCTCTTTTACACCCCATAATAATTGCCCAAAATGGCAAATCTAGTATTTTTTTACACTCAAGCTCATAGTAGTACACATCTTCTATGAAAATATTTGCAACACGTAGAACATGACGTCTTAACATGTAATGTGTCATCATAGGGATGCCCTCTAATGCTCACAAGTATATTGAGACCACGTGTGGGCATTGTTTGTGCTAATTTATTAACCCTGTGCCAGAAAGACTTTTAATGAAACATTAAATGAGGGTAGCAGAGGATTTATTGGCCTTTTATTTCTCTAAAGTCATTTTGAAGATCACTATGCTCATGTGCAAAGTGGCTTGTGAAAGGATTAAATTATCGTATACAAAGAGTGAAAATTAAGCCTTAATTTTATGGTTATTTTGTAGGCGAGCTGTTGCTCAGCGTTGTCCTTCACCTCGGATGTTGAATCTTATTTCAATAGGAGGACAACATCAAGGTGTATATGGCCTTCCTGATTGCAGTTACATTAAGCATCCCCTCTGCAATTATATTAGAAAATTATTAAATTATGGAGCATATGTTGGGTATGTTTACTTCCAATTTAAATATAATGATAAACAATTCTTCTTCTTTAATCTGAAAATATATGCTCTCTATTTTCAGTTGGGTTCAGAATACATTAGTCCAAGCTGAATATTGGCATGATCCTTTAGATGAAGAGAAATATCGAAGTTCAAGTATATTTCTTGCAGATATTAATAATGAAAGAAATATGAATCAAACATATGTTCAAAATCTTCTAAAACTGAATAATTTAGTGCTTGTTATGTTTAATAATGATACAATTGTTCAGCCTAAAGAAACTGAGTGGTTTGGGTTCTTTGAACCAGGCCAAGATAAAAAACTATACAGGATGCAAGATAGTGTGTTATACAAAGAGGTAGGTCATATTACTTTCCTGAATGCGTAGAATAGAGAAAACATTGCAATTAAATAAAAAAAACAATCTGGAGATTATTCAGGAATGCAATTGCTTGGATATCTCTGTTGCTAAAAGGAGGTTTAAAAAACAACAAATTTGTGAACATTTCAAATGGTAACTGTTAAAAGCTTTTTTTCGAAACTAATCATTTAGGATAATTTTAGATCCTAGAAATTTAAGTATGATATTATTTTTTGGAGGTTGTTGATAATTCATAGGTCATTTTTTAAGTTTTCTGTAAATTTCTCCACAGTAACTTTATTTGACAATAATGTCATTACAATTTTTCCATTTCTTCAATAGTATTCAAGTCTAGTTGAATCTAACTGTGGCAATTTTCCAGAAATATATCTACAGTCTCCAAAAACTCTAACTCGCTTCAAACTTTGTATATTTATGACTCAACTTTAAAACTTTTTGAACTTGTGCTTGTCTGTTACTGATATATTTTCTTATTTTTTGAATTTATAAACACAAAATCTAGAACAACCATGCTTAATTTTGATTCCTGATGAGTAACTACTTGTTACTTCTTTGTTTCTATAAATAAAAATTTATGACTTTTCATTATTTTTGTTTCTTTATAGTGTGTTAAAGATTGAAGTGTCTAAAATATGTGTTTTGTGAAAAATAATCAATCTTGTCGTAAATAGAGACCGGAAAAATATGTAGTATGAAATGGCACAATATGTACTTAAGTGTGTATTGAAAATGATAAGAATGTGTAACAAATATCTTAAAAAAGAACATGTGTAAAATTAAAATTTGCTTTTATTTACAGAACATTTGCAAAGTAAACTTTCACAATTTGAAATTACATTAATAAAATATTTATCCCACTGAATAAAATTTGTTTAAGAATACTTTTTATGTTTGCAATAATAGCTACAGACAAATGTGGAAACTTAATGATCGTCAAACAGTCACTGTAGCATTGTTATCGTAGTTTCATGTCTGGGACATTCAATAACTCATAAATTGCTTTGAACCAAGAATCACAGGGTCGCTGATACTTTCACTGTGTCAGCAGTATGCTCTGAGGAAGGCCACAATATGCTCGCTAGTCTAATTTTTGTTTCTGAGGTTATGTGAGGGAGTGTCTTTTTATTAAGCCATTGGTTTTGTTGTAGTTCACCAACTTTCATTCAAAATCTTCCTGTATTGAGATTTTGTTATCAGTTACTATATTTGCCCGTGTAAAGTCCTTGTTTTTAAAGTCTGTTGTTTTAGTTTTCATTGCAGATATTCTCAGTCTTTATTTCGTTACAATGTTGTTCAGTCTGCAACAAAACCCCTTTATAAGAGACACCAGGAGAAATGGAATTTTGTCTCTAATAAGTGGGAAATGGGTTTCTGGCACGTTTAATAAAATGTTACCATATTTTTAAGGGATTAGTATAATTTGTATGCTACTTTAAACTTGAGGAAACATACATTACTTGATACCAGATCCCATTTACCAACATTCTTTGAGTTTCAATGCACAGCAAAATCCTGTTGTAAGATAGAAAAGAAAATACCCGATGTTATTATTCTCTCTATATATAATTCAATTTTCTCTTGTCCTCCTCCCACGGCGTTGACGTTGGGTTGGATTTGGGAAGGCAAAAGTATGTACAATATTTACAATTGTTTACAGCTATTTACATGTGCTCAGTCATCTGAAACTTAATTTCTTTTTTAAAATGGGAAGTTATATTTATCTGCTTCCTATGAGGTCTCATTGCCAGAAACACCCTTTCAGCAAAATTAATTGGTCATTGTTGATCCTGAAATACGTTTATTCAACAAAAAGTTCCTCACTGACTCCATCATAACTACTGCTTCATTATGTGATGGTAGTGGTGGACTCTCATGATAGTCATTCTCCGCATCATCACCATCATTCTGATTTTCGCAAAGGTCTGAAATGCAAGATATGCCAGCATTTGCCATTTCTCCATCTGCAGTAACATTTTTTCTTCAAACGTTATCCCCAGCTTCCAAATCTCTCCATTCTTCCATGACCATTTCTTCCTCTCGAACACTTCCTTCATGTAGATTGAATCCAGCCTTCTTAAAACAATTTGAAATAACCTCTATTTGCACATCGTTCCATGACAAGGAAATTCAATGAGTGGCTTGGAGGACATTCACTTTGATGTGTGAATTATTTGCATCAAAACTGGAGAGGAGTCTCCTAACCACCATCTTGCTGTACTTGGTTTTAAAGTTGTGAATTACTCCCAAATCAAGTGATTGCAGTTCACTCGTACAGTCGGGGAAGGGGTGGGGATATCACATTAATATTTCTAAGGAAGGAAGTACCAGGAGGATGAGCTGGACGCGTATCAATAAAAAGGAGAATTTTTCTCCCAGCATTTCCTATTCGTGCATCAAATACCATACAAGTTTCTGAGGTCATCCAGGCATTTTTATTTTTATATTCACAGGAGAGGTGCTGGATACCGTTGAAGCATTAAGGCTTTGCAAACTTCCCTATTACAAGTGGCTTCAATTTTTCTGTACCAAGAGCATTAGAACTAACTCCTTCTCTCTCTCTCCTTCTCTCTCTCTCCTTCTCTCTCTCTCTCTCTCCTTCTCTCTCTCTCCTTCTCTCTCTCTCTCCTTCTCTCTCTCTCCTTCTCTCTCTCTCTCTCCTTCTCTCTCTTTCTCTCTCTCGTTTGTCCGGCCTTGGCGACCCCTGTTGGAGGTCTTGTTTCGCAACTACTTGTGCTAATTTCTGCTTTGCACCTAGGGATACGTTGTTTACGTATTTTGGGGCTCATTCCTTGTAGGTTCCCAACACACTTGCTTTGGCCTCGGACTCTTCTAGACGGGCGGTCGGGAGCTAGTCCACTTCCGATCAATGTGCTCGGTCTGGGTCTTTTAGTCCACTCCAGGGCGCGGGGCAGCGCTGTGACATCTCCCCACTATATCTTAGTGTCAACCCTGGCACCCCAGTGGGGGTGTCCCGTTGTTGGACTCCATGAGGGTGGAGAGCACGGAGACGAACCGCTTCAATTCTATGGAGCATAAAACAAACCCTTTGCCCTCTTCCGGCAGGAATCTATGTTTTGAGAGAACGATGGACTTAAGTAGTTTCTTCCGTAGGGAAGAATCAACGTTTCCTATTTATGGCGTGCACAAAAGAAGGGAAAACATTTAAAAGTGTTATTGCTAGTTCGTCTCGCGCGAGCCATTGAGAACTCCGAGCGGTGGTGCGTCAGAAGAATGGTACCATTCCCTTCGAGGCACGCATCGATGAGCAAATCGAAAGAATCTCAAAAACCAAGCATATTGAGGGCCTTCAGGTGGAAGTGACCACTCACCCCTTAATCTATGTAAGGGAGTGGTGAATCACGATGACATTACGTCCGAAAGTGGGGAGGAGTTCTTTAAGAGTCGGGACGTAACGGAGGTGTTTAGGATCAAGTGGAAGGAGAATCTCTATCTTTGGGTCTTAATTTGAATTTAGAAATGTCGTTAGCTTAGATGTTGCCAGTTCTTTAATGTGGAATGATATAGCGAGTTATGATCCGCCCACAAAGGACTGTTGACGTGTCCTTAAATCAATCAATTTATTTTTTACGGTAATCCTTGCTAAGAAAACTTGATCGCTCAGTTTTGAATTTTGTTAGTATTGTATATTGATCAGCAGTTTCCTTCGCTCTGAGACCTCTTAACAGTATCCACTACTTTTGTTTTGTATTCTTGGATTTTGCGGTTCTATTAGTATTGGTATTTATTGAAATAGGTTTTCTTAGGGGTGTGCTGTATGATGTCCAGGATTCCTCTTGTTTATTTAGGCATTTTTATTTGGTAAAAAGTGGCTTTTTATAAAACATACTAAAAGGATTTTCCCTTTGTCAAAGTATTGCTCAAATATTTTTCTTTGTATTTGTATTTATTACCCAAAAATATTGTTCTTTGGTGATACTCTGAGAGTTGATAAAAATACTAGGAATGTGTGAAATTTAGGGATGTGGTGGAAAAGAGAAAAACAACAAAAAAGTGTATTCCGGTGGTGTCCGGGTGACGCCGCGTCCATGGCGAAGGTGCCGACGTTTCGGTGCCATTCTGCGACCTTCCTCAGGGCGTAATGCGCGGGGATGTACTGCGCACGAGTTAAAATAGGGCTAAGTTTCGCCTCTACCCGAGTGCCGGTTGGCCAGGTGGTCGGCCAATGCGGAGAGTGTGCACCGGCCTATCGGGGACGGACTCCCCGCGGGGTAAGAGAAGGCGCTCCGTCCCGACGTTCCCGAGCAGCTAGGCCGCGTCCGGTCGAGAACGGACGTCCTGGTAAAATAGGTGTTTCCAGGCATCGTGTAGACATATGCCTTGGTCAGCATTGAAGTTACGAGGGTGTTAGATCATTTTCACCGCCTCTTTTACCCTCCTCGTGCCCCAGCGGTCTTCTCTGGCTAACGGGGAGTCCGCCGCTGATTGGCCGGTGCACTCTCTCCGCATTGGCCGACCACCCGGCCCACCGGCACACGGGTAGATCGTGGATATTAATATTTCACATTAATATCATACTTTATTTTAAAATATTGTTCTACAATATTTTTTGTAGACAAAGGGGGGGGGGCATTTATGAGGGGATAAAAAATATTTTACAGAATCAATTTTGAAGAACATAGTGTCAGGTTTTCTTAAGTGTTAATCCGAATTCCAATTTGACACTCGGAAATTATTGGTAACATATGCAAATAAAAACAAATTTTCTTTTGAAATAAATGAACAGAGATTGTATTTGAAATATTAAAAATAAAGTCTTCCAGTAATTATTACGAATTGCTACAAAAAAAAGCGTAAGCTATTTTGTGGCACCACTAATTTTATTAGATTACTGATTATATACTGATTCTAGTAGATTGGTGAATAATTTCTTTAACAGAACTAGCTCATATTTTCCACCGTAACAAATTCTTTCATCCTATAACTATGAATTGAAAATAAATGAAACATTTTATTATAGGATCGAATTGGATTGAGAAAGTTGGATCAGCAAGGCCGATTGAAGTTATTGGCAGTGGATGGAAATCATTTGCAGTTCAGTGAAGAATGGTTTGTTAATGAAATTCTTCACAAATTTTGTGGTTCATAATCACATATCTTAGAGTGCAAATAAGGTATTCTGACAATTTTCATGTGTTGGAATAAGATAGTTAACTAAGTACATTTTATTTTGGGAATAATGTAATTATTTTTCAGAATGATTTTTATTAATAATAAAAAGATAATATTCATAAGATATTGGAAAGACAAATATGTTTGTTGTAATTGCACAGCTGTTACAGTAAATTACAGATTATATCCTTAAAAGGAAACAAAAATTCTTAAATTTATTTTTACATCATATTTCACATAGTTTTGTTTCTGACACAAATTGAAGATTGAGAAATACAAAACAAAATGTTTTAATTGAGGTGCTATTTACCATGACAAGTTTATGAATACAATAATAATGTATTTATAAAGATAATACCATCCCTCCAATTCATGATACATATTCCAGTAGTTGCTTCAATTAATAATAATAATAATAATAATAATAATAATAATAATAATAATAATAATAATAATAGTTATTATTATTATTTATTGGATCCTGATAATAGCAGTAGTTTTTTTTGCTTATTTTGTGTTTGATATGTTTTATTATGCAAGAAATATTTTCATGTTAGATTCTCGGCTTATTATCTATATTGAGTTATATCCTAACAGTTAAATTTGTTTTGAATAAATACAATTATAAATACATTGTTTTCTTTCCATGAAAGTGCAAATTTATTTCCTGAGAGATATTAGCTATCTGTTGATCCTCTGCTAATCATACTATGGTAAAAAGTGATTTAACTTGATGTAACTATGAAAGAAATTTTGCTATTACAAAACACTGAATTTAAATATTTTACTTGAATTAAGTGGAATTGTCCAATTCTAAACTTACACTATTACAAATATTTCTAAATATTAAGGTAAAATACTAAATTTATATATCTGGTTTTCTAATTTTAAATGATTTATTAGTGTTCACTGAATGGTGTATTTTCTTCTTTAAGTAAAGAGTACAAAAGCATTTGCCTTTGTCAAACAAAATTATTGTTGTAATTTATTGTGTGTGTGAGTAACATTAAAATGATATACTAAATGTTCTCTTTTATAGTATAGTGGACCGTTTTATGCTTGAACAATAAAAGCTGTGCTTGTTGCACCAGACACTAGACTAGATATGTTCTGGGAAAATTTAGTTACTTTGAATTGTGGAAGTGCCATAATGATAATTAGAAGAATTAGAAATTATGGATTTGGAAATTGTCATGTTTTTATCATTTGTATCTAAAATATAAATAAATATATTTTTATGATTTTTTAATTTTTGATGTTATTGTTATGCACTGGAATCCTGTGTTTTAAGTTTGTCTGGGAAAATTAATATCCTAGAGAAAATACTTGATTTAATAATCTAACATCAATTAAGTCAGATTATTGTATTAGACTATATTATACTAGATTGTAAATATAGTAGTGGTATAGTGTGACGAATTTAAATGGATAAACACACAGATGAAGACCCAACATTTTTTAAATAGTAAGCCCATATATTTATTGTTGACCTTGAATGCTAGAAAAAATAAATTAGATAAATAACTCAAAATGTGTATTTTATATATATATATAT